TCAAAGTTCGTCTCTGCACTCCACTCTGATCATCCTGTGGGCAAGCCAGAGGGTCCACCTCCCCAGTGGTGGCCACTCTTAGCAGGGGCAGACACATGCAGACATCCTTCTCGATGAGAAATAATGAGCTGAAGCAGAATCCAAACTGTTTTGAACTCTTTGGGTGCCCTGGACCTGGACAGACCAGGTGCTGTTCGTGTCAGACCCTGCCTCTTCTGCTTGCTAGGGAAGTAATCCCTTCCTCCCAGGTGGGAGCAAAAACCCTATTCCCTTCGGGGCCTAGCCCTTCCCACCCCATCCCCAGCTGGATTACTGTGCTTTATGTGTACTGTGCTAAATTTATAGGTGATACATGGGCTCCAGCTGCTACAAAAAGGAGGCATCTGCAATCTCTATCTCTCAGGTCACCATATGCACATCATTCTATATTCAAATCCTTCTGGTGGCTTCCCATCAGCTTCCAGAGGCAGTCTGAGAAGGAAATCCTAATTTCTGAAAGAAATAATGGTTTAGATTCCAGCTATGTCAAGGACCAGGTTTCGATCTATAACTGACTGTAAGAGCTGCATTCCTCTGTGGAATTGGACTTTCAGATATGCTGACAAAAATGTAACAATATTCAGTAGCAAGGAGGCAGAGTTGACAAAGTCAACCTAATCTGAATAAGAAGCAATTTCCTAGCTTTGAAGGTAATTAAACATAGGAGCACTTCCCCACAGAAGACTGAAGACTTCAGTAAACTTAGGTGTGTTTCTGAAAAGCATGATTGTCTGGCACCTTTGGCAACAAAATGGGTTCAGTCTAGATTTGCAAAGGGAAGGTGGAGGCTGGCCTGCATGATCCTGATGTCCTTTGATGGTTTTGGACTCTGGGAGCTGATGGGTTCCCTCTGGTCATGCCATTCTTCCATGGTCATTTGAGGAGAAGGAATAGCCTCACAACACTTGCCTTTCTTCATTAAGACAAAATTTGAAACAAATCTTATTTTTCTGAGCAGCAAAAGACTGCCTGATAGGTCATAATCTGGATGAAGCCTGGGAATACTGCAATTTTGGTTTTGCTTTCCTCTAAAGAAGCAAGGGGTGTAGCCTCCCACCAGAATGATCTAGTCTTTTGTCATCTGGAGTTAGCCTCAATTTAGACAGCTCCAGGGCTGCAACAACACAGCACCTAGGAAAGGTTTGGGGAAATGAGATGAATACCTGGTTAGTGCAGGCTTTGTTCAGAGCTAGGAAGGGACACGCTGGTACAGGACAGGTCAGCACACTAAGCTGGTGTAGCAAACCTTTGGGAAAGCTTAGCTGCTCAGAACGCAGGGTTGGGCTCCTCTGTGCGCTTGGGTGAGGAAGGGATTTTCCTTTCCATCAGATCAGTGGGGACTAGAGGTATTTTGTCTTTTTCTCATCTTTGTGGGGTACTGGTTTGCCTACTGAAATAATTTGGATATATCCTGCCTAGTCATGTCCCCACAGTACAGGGACCTCCTGGCTGATTGTGTTCTTTGCCTTCAGGAAGCTCTCAAAGCCTGAAGTGCATCAGTCTGTGAGCAAGGCACATGCAGTTATCATGGCCTGGAGAACCCACGAGAAAAGTGAGTCATTGCATGGTTTCTTCTGCCTTATGAAAGCTATTGCTAAGGCATGATTAAGAACTGAAGGATACATATTTTAATCAAAGATTGAGGCTACTCTCCCCTGGCAGTTACTATGTGCTTTGTGCACACAACCACTGTTACATCTTCTTCACTATATTCAGAAATGCTGTAAACTTATCCAGATGGGACAACCTTCCCGAAAAGGTTGAGTGAATCCAGACTCCATCAGTCTTCAGAAACACTGGAAACTAAAATGAGAATTTGGATTCTTCCATCTATGCCCAAACTCACACCAAGGCCCACTCTTAAATCAATAAGTATCTGTTGTACAGATACAGCAATTCCTGAAGACCCATTTGGAGAAGATTTCTGATGTTGGAAAACAACAAAACATGCCCTGAAAAGTGAATGAATCTACAGAAACTGTAGCTCTTAATTTTTATACATTTTCTGGTTTAGCTACTGTCAATTTTTCCCATCTCTGTCCTACTCTGGTCGCTTCTTGCTGACTTGTCTCCACAACATCCCACATTTTGTCCTCTCATTCAGAGTATCCAAGATCTTCCCTCTATTGTAGCAACTTCTACCTTACCTTTTTTCATGCATATAAAAATGCAATCTCAAGAATTGATCTAGCTTATTATCAAGGTGGATACATCCCCTGCTGCTTTGTTTCTAAGTTAATTCTGCCTTAACAGCTGTAGAATGTAGGTCTTGTTCTGCTAATATGGACCATTATCTTCAGTCAGTCACTGCTTGGTCACATCTATTTCCTTTTCTTCACCTTCTCATTCATATACATGTGCCTCTCACTCTATTTCAGTATGAGGAAAAGTCTGCCTTCAACTTCTCCATTATATATTCTTCGTACGCCGTCCATGGGATCCATCAACTTCAGTCCTTTCTAAATTATGGTATTGTTTTTAATCCTGCCAGCACAAGCTCAAGCCAGAGCAACTACTACTACTTCCCTCTGATAGTTACATTCTGTGTTATTGATGTATATTGCTTTACTTGCCTGTTTGCATTGCAACAAACTCTTCATGCCGAGCACAGGATCCTCTCTGGGTAAACAAATAGTCCCAGAATACACAAGGGAACTCAAAGCCTTCATTAAAAAAAAATGAAGTAGTAGTTTTCAAAAGAATGAACCCAGCTAATTAAGTCCTGCAAAATTCAATTTTCTGAACAAAGTTCTCCAGCCCATTCATTTTTAAAATCATAGTACTTTATGTTATGTCTTAAGTCTTTGAATTTTCCCTTTGGCCACCATTAGGTCATATTTCAAATTCCTGGCAGTCTTATTTAAGTCTTCAATAAGTTAAATTGTTATTAGTCATATTTTGAGTCTGTAATACTTTCCTCAAGTATACAATGAACATAAATCACATATTCATCATATAATCATGATTCAAATATATAATGTTCCAGACATGTTTAGGACAAATGTAGATAAATCTAATTAAGGGAGTTGTGAGATTAGAAGTGAGATATAAAGAGTGGAAAATCAGCAGCTTTTTTATCAGTTTTATCAGAACCTCACAGAAATCATCACATTTAAGTTACATCTCCTTGGTTTTTGGCTTAGCACTTTTTTTTCCCACACATCTTTGGTCTTTGTTACAAGGTACTTTTTTATCTGTGCCAGGGTATGATTATGTGTGTGCACTGATACCCATGTCATAGGTGCTCTCATTTGTCAAAAAGTGTTGGATTTAATCAGCATTATTGAACATGTTCTCGATAACATTAAGTCTCAACAAACAACTTCAAAATAAGACTTGGCTTCTTCAAGATTTCATTGCAATACACTGTAAATTAAAATAGCTTTCCACAGAATGAGGTAGAACACAGAAGGAAACCACTAATACACTTCTAGATGTTGAGAGATATTTTTATTTTCCTTCAACTGAAGCAAGCATATACCAAAACCTCCAAAATCTTCAAAATAATGTAACAGAGCTTTGCATAGACTGGCAAATACAAAGCAGAAGAACTTCAAATGAAAGTTGGAGCTGGCCTATTTGACCTTATTTTTCCTTCTTCCTCAGGTGTCCTGCAAAATATCACCATGACCTCTCTATCAGTGAAGTGTCATTACATCTAGTGAAATAGATGACAATTCCCTGGAATGCAATCTAATGCCTTGAAAAGCTCACAGTGGAACTAGATTTGTGCTGTAGCTATGACACTTATTTCACTGTCAGCCCCAAAGAAAAACTAAGTTCAAAGTAAAGAACAGAAACAAGCATCTGAATAATTTTAGTCTCCTTTGGCTTCTCTGCCCATTGCTTAGAATGGGGAAACATTTTAATCAGAGGTTTGATGATCAACATGGGTTGACAGGCACAAAAGCCAAATAAATGGGAACTATCTGTACACATTTTTCATATGGTAGCACTTTTTTTGGTAAAAAATTCAACTGGTGTACTCAGTACCATTCCTTGTGTTGCCACATATCATCCATCAAATACACACGAGGTTTTGTGTTCTTGGCCTATTGCATATTTTGACAAGTTTGTTTTAATGACCAGTCTTGTTCAGCAACATTCTACTCTCAAAGATCTATAAACCTGTAGAAGATGTAGCTGGATGGCTGTTCAATAATAGCAAATACCTGAACCACTCATCTCCAATGAGCCTGCTTTGGGTGACCTGACACTGATCAGTCCCAGCAGTGCCCCTCAATGGTGAAGAACTAATTGGGGATGGAGGCAGATGTTACACTGTAACGGACCAGCTTCTCTTACCTAAGGAGATTACTTGTACTTTATCACTCTGTTCATGTAGGACTTTTCCAAATGAAGGCAGACATATTTGAGTTGTCTTTCCTACACAAAGACAAGGGACAGTTGCCCTGGTTGTAACCACAACACAAGGGAACTCTGGGTCTCTAAGGATGTCAGAGGGATATGTGTTCCCTTTTAAATAGTACTTCTCTCCCTTCACCACAGCTGTATTCTATGTGATATCTATCTGACTCAGTGCAAAGCCACTGCCATCATCACTGGAACAGCTCATGGAGAAAAAAAGAAAAATAAATTAATCCTCTACTTCTCAGAAATTCAGATTTTTACCATGAAGGGGTTATTTCTGATACTTTTTCTGTGTCTAACATAAGTGCCACAACTACCACCAAATTCAGCAAACACACCAGCAACACTTAGAGTAAGGGGAAAAGGGTGGCTCTGCTCCAAGGGACACATTTCCAGCAAACACACCCATCTGAGAGCATTTGAAAGCAGCTGGAAGGTCTGGTTAGCATTTGGATCACCTCACAGGGTGTCACACGTGGCTTTTTCACTGCATACAATAGTAGTGACACATCCAAAGTGCTCAGGAATTCAAGTCACACTTCTGCCATGGCACTTACTGTCTTAATTTGCATGGAGTTTCTTTGATTAAGTCAAGTGTGGCAGGTAGAAGAGGTTTTCACCCACTTAAGTTATTCCACAAAATTCTGGATTTTTTTTTTTTTTCCCAGAATCCATCAGGATGAAGACTTTTCAGAATTTCCTTCCTTGTGCTGAGGAGCTGAGACTGCTCAGCTGTGTCTACAAGCATAGAGTAAAAGGACAGAATAGATGGGAGCTCTCTGCATCAGTGGGAGCAGTCAGGCTTCATGCAGATAGAGCAGGACCAATGCAGACACAATATTAAAAATATCGCTTCTCCACTCTACTACTATTCCTCTTTCCACACATTCTTCACCCAGCCCCAGCTCTTTTAATCTCACATCCTTGAAGATGCACGAGAGAATGCAGTGACATGGCATAAGAACTTGGGAATAAGGAATGAAATGGGACTCCATTGGCCCATGCACACCTTCCTTTTCCACCAGGTCTGTAATTCTGGATCTTGGTGTGGTTGCAGCATTGCATGCTTGAAAGCAACATGACACTGGGAGGGCTGGAAAGCTGTCAGAGCACTCCATCAAGTATTTAATCTCTCTGGCCTCTGAGAGCAGCCTTCACCCATGCTTATTTATAGGGAAGATAAGAATGTTCTTTCCTTCATTTCACCTGTCAGGGAACTTCAGGATCCTAACTTGTATATACAGACCTATATTAAATGAGAATTTAGCTTGCTATGTATTTAAATACATTCATATACATATAAATCTATATTTCCACGATGAAGTATGTATTCACTATACATTGACTATGTGCTGAGCATATATTTAACAGACATTTATTTTGAATGTTTGATAAATAAAGTCAAATTACCCAATTTCTGCACTAGAAAGGAGAAAAAAGATGGCAGACAGAACAGGCAACTTGGCTATATTCACCTAAGAAAAAACTTTAATACTTCCCTAGATTTTGAGGCCAGTCATGATCCTCCAGGCTGACTTGCTGCGAAATGTCAACATCATGTTCATAACTCCAGGTCACTCTATTGCGTATGAGCACAGTGAAGCAGGAGAATTCCTTGCATTGCTAGGAGGCAGGATATAGGCTTGTCTGAGGTGAGCAGTGGAGAAGAGGTAATAAAAGCCCACTTGATAACTCTGTTATCACAAAACAAGCCCCACCACGTAAGCCTGCTCTACACATGATCCAAGCTCCAAATGACTAGCACAGCAGCAGCCAGCACATCTTAAACCATCTTTCCCTACAATACTATGGGTATAGCTCCCCAGATAAACTAAGTAGGAAAAGAAAGTATGTAGGATTGTGATGGAAACTTTGAGAAATTCAGGATTAATGTGATAAAGACAGATACAATGAAGAAACTGAAAAGAAGCAAAACAACCCAAACCACAGTTTTGAAAAGGTGATGGTAGATAGTCTGGTTTTGTTCTGCTTGAGAAAGGAAATGATGCTATGAGCTAGATTAAATCATGGAGGTTACAGTAGGTTTAGACTGGAGTCCTGTTACTGGAGTACCTAGAAGTGGACTTTAACTGGCTTATAATGGCCAGTAACGTACCTTAAGCTTTAGGGGACTCATAGGCTGCAGGAGGTGGTGGAAGCCATGTGCCCGTTTGCGAGCAGGGGGCTGTCAGAGAGGTGCAGAACAGAGCAATTCTGGGCTTGACTACTCCAGTGACAGTGGGATGTCAAGGAGATATCTTACACAAGGGTTGCATGGCTGGAGGCCACACCATCACCCCGCCTCACAGCACCCAGGTGCAGAGGCTGGCCATGGGATGCATCCGGGAGCCAACTGTGACACGTTTTTCTGCATGCTGGCATCTGTGCAGTGTGGTACTGGTACCAGGCTGAGGTGAGTCGGTGACAACCACCCCAGCAGGGCACCATCTCTCCATGTCCAAAAACTTTCCTATGAGGTTGAGCAGCACTCATGGTGAAGACAATAAAAACTGTGAGTCTATTTGCTTGCTGGGTGTATATGGGAGGTGGGTATTAACCCAACTTAGATATAAGTAAAATTTGGTGATCTGAGCTTACCTCCAACTATGTCTCAGGAATTAATGGCACATCTACTGGGCTTTCTTCTTGCCTCTTCTGCCAAACCACGCCTCAACTATCCTGAAATGATGTTTTGTGTTCTTTTGGGGAGGAAGGATGAAGGGATGAATGAACTGTAACTTATATCTGAGTAACACCTGTAAAAGTGACCTTCAATTACTCTCCTAAAGAGAAAATGCACTGTATCTGTGGTGCATCTAAGTAAGGGCATTTCCTGCAAAGCCAGCAATTGCCATTTATGCAGCAGATGCTTTTTTTCTGCTCACAAAACTCCAAGTTTCATCTCTAAGTGCCAACAGTCCCCATCCATGCAAAGACCAAACATAAGGTAAGTGAGGATAAATATTCAATGTTCAGGCAATAGGAGGGGTTTATGGAGGTTTTTTAGTAATAGTTCATTAAGAGAAAGTGAAATACAAGAGTATGTTATAGAGCAGACAGGGAATTGGGAGTGGGTAAGTGAAAGGCATGTGACAATTTCAATTTACTGTCTCATTCTGCAGAGTACCACATGGATGTCATCAGCATGTATGGATAACAGGCCATGGATATGCTAAGGATGGGTTATGGCATCCCTGCCTTTTTGTCCTCTCTTGCCTATCAACTCTCCCTCCTTTCAGACTATGCTGACAAAATGGCTCTTGCAGCAGCACAGTGACTCTGATCAGGCGAGGGGTCTGGATTTGAAAAATGCCTTCTCTCCCTTAAAAAAAAAAAAAAAAAGGTTTTTTCTTTAAGTTGTTTTCCTGACCTGTTTCACAGCCTTTCCTTACAAACAGCTGTTATGGCAGAGCCGCAGGGGAATTGTACTGCAGCTCAGAGACCAGGAGAAGAGCAGGGGGATGGAGTGAGATGCAGAAATACCTCCGGCCATTACTGCCGCCAGGGACAGGACATTGCAGAGCCACAGCCTTACGTTCTGCTTCTAGCTTGGCTCACACTCATGGCAGGACTCTGGAAAAGTTACTTGGCATCCCTGAACCTCAGTGTCTGATTTCTTACATTGTAAAATGGAGTCACCAATGGTTACCCAACCTGGTGAAGATCTGAGCTGCACATGAAGTGTTCTCTGTGAATGTGTGTAGTATATACTGTATTGCACATGCATGCTCTTACAAACATACATACACATATGATTTCTTTCCTATGGACATTTTCTGTGTCAGAAATAGGCTTACAGCCAGAAGCGAACAGGACTACTTCTCTGGGAATATTGTGCAGTTGCTAATTTCACTACCGGAACTGTGTTGCTGCACAATCTGGCCTCCTTCCACAACTGCCTCTATTGAAAATAAAGGGGACTGATGAGCCTATGGATAATGGTAAACATATGGAATGCAGGCAGTACTATACATTAAAAGCCAGAACACATTAAAAGGTATTTTAGCTGTTGGCAGCATAAGATCAGTGTAGGAAACATCATCTAACAGAGAAATCTCATACCAATAAGTTTAATGCTCTGACAGTGTTTGGCATTTTTCTTTCACTTAAGAAAAAATAAAATAAAAAATGACTAATTCAAAGCGAGGGCCAAACCACTAAGTTTCAAATTAGTTTGTCATAACTGCAAAAATACTGGATCTTTAGTTTTGTTTGTGTTGGAAAGTGCTTTCATTTCAGACTAGGTCACTTGATTTTCTTTTGAGTGTACATGAGACCTTTGACTCCTTGGAGGACACTGGAGACGAATTGAGTAATGTGATGTCATTGCTCGCAGAGTTCTCATAACACTAAATATATTAGTCACTCGCCTTGCCAGTACCAAGAGGGTAGAAAAGAAATCCGGCAAGATGGTGGTACTATGTAGATGGACAACAATCATTGTTCCCTGTGATATATGCTACTTTCTCTCCACTATTTCCATCATTTTTTGTGAAGTCCGTGAAGGTCATATTTCAGCTAGGTGATATTTCTCACCCAAACATTTGTCTTCCCCTTGCTGTTTGCATTTACTATGCAAAATCACTGAAATTTTGTACTCTGTGACAAATTACCTCAATTAAGTCAAACAGCTTAAAAGCTTGACTTTTACTTTTTACCAGGACTAGAGATTGTTCAATCTCAAGTAGATACGAGAAGGTAGATATCTGGGAAAATTGGGTTGTTGGTTGCTGCTGGGTTTTTCTCTTAGTGAGTGTGAGAGGTATGAATGAAGGTATGGTTATACTTAGGAAATACCTGTTCACACAGTAACATGACCATCCTTTTTTATAAGGCTCAGGGAAAGCTGCATGATTTCTGTTTCTCCTTATAAAGTACAAGTGTCAGATCCTTGCTCCAGTGAAATGCAATGTTGGATTTCATACAGACTCGATGTTATTCACACAAAATACTTATCTGTTGGGTAATGACAGCATATTCTCATATGGGATGGCAATAAATATAAAGATGCATAATTTTCCTTTCTCTAAGTTTTCATAGCTAGCATTCAGAAAAAGGAGTAATTTTCCATACTGACACTGGGATTACTTCAGGCAGGTCTTGTGCATAACTTTTGCTCCTGCTTTTAATGCCACTGATTTTCTTGTGCAAGAGTTATTTTAGGTTTTATCACATGTAATACAAAATGAGTAATGGAGATTGTGGAAAGTGTGCTGGGATTCTTCTGCTAGTACAGAAAAATGTTTTTAAAAACTCAGAGATTTATCACAATGTGTGGACCACTAAAGACATCTCAAAGTATAATTAGCCATTTGCTAATTCTGAAATCAATTCAATATGTCAAGAATTTTTTTAGGAATGCTTGAGGGAAAGAAACCAGTCATGCAAACTCTTGTCCAGTGAATAAATTATGGTTATAAGATCCCAGTTTCTGACAGGCTTAAAAGTTAAATAAAAGGTTGGTCAACCCTTCTCAAAATCTCTAGCATATAAATCAGCTTGAAACACTACTTGGGTTTTACTAAGTGACTAGTGGAAAAATACCTTCCAAAAAATCCCACTGTTGAAAAGCCTCATACCAGCTCTCTCAGTACTTCAGTGTCTGTGCTTAAGTGAGAAGTGACATGGTTTAACCTAACTGTGACTGCACTCAGAGGTATGTGTTGTCCAAAACAGCCAAATCTTAGAGATTTAAACCAATGAGGGATTAACTCCTTCAGCTGGAGTTAGTGGTCTCCTCCACCCAAAACTAGAAAGCAAAACAAGCCTTCCCACCCTTATGGCCTTCCTGTCTGAAGCTGAAGTCATGCAAACATTATGTGTTCCTGGGAAAGGTAGTATACATAAGTAATTGGTCATGAAACAGATAGGATTAAATTAAAGCAGAAAGTGGGAAGTCCTGTATCCCCCAGGACCAGTCAACTCCTCCCTTTCCCCAAATCCTAAAATCTCACTCTTTTTTTTAACAGTAATTGTCTTCACTGTAGCCTAGTTAGTCTACATAACTCATATATTTTACATGCTGTAATGTTAAGTCTTTCCAAAATAAAACAGGGTTGACAGAAGGGCATTAACACAGGGCCAATAATTTTGTGTAGTCTGTAAAATGATGTTAATGTCTGTGCTGAACAGTGCCAGCTTTCTTAGACTGTCCCCATATGTCAGATGGCCCCAGTGTACACCAGTAGTGAGTGGCCTCCACCTGGACTCTGTGCTGCTGTTCACCAGCTCAGGGGAGCTAGTCAGTTAGTTTTCAATCCACCTCAGTGTCCACTTAAACAGGCTGTACGTATCCTCACTGTCTGTGAGGATATTATGAAAGGCAGTGTCAAAAGCCTTTTTACAATCAAGATAAGTAGCATTCATTGCTCTATCCTCATTGAACAAACTAGTCAAATCATCATAGAAGGGGGTCAGATTGGTCAAGCATGATTTGTCCATTGTATACCTATGCTGACTATTCCCAAAATCCTTTTTGTCTCTAATATATTTGGAAAATTTTCCAGGATTATTCGCTTCATCCTTTCCCTGGAACACAGGTGATGCTGGCTGTCCTCACTCCCCATACCCTCTTCTTTGATTTTCTTGAAGGTAGCAGTGACATGTACTTTATTCCATTCCCCAGAAACCTCCCCCATTTGCTATAATCTTTCAACGATGATCAAGAGTGGCCTCACAATGACATTGGCCAGCTCTCTCAGCACTCATGTGTGTGTCCCATTGGGTACCATGGATTTGTGTATGTCCAATTTGTTCATTAATCTGATTTTCCTCTACTGAGGAGGGTCCTCTTACTTATCTGGAAATTTATGCCTTAAAAATTGCCTATCTGAAATCACAGAATATAGGCCCAGGCCTTCAACTGGTAATTTAAATTAAGTTCTTCAATTCATGTTCAAGGAAGGAACATAAGAACATGTGGTTATATGATGCGTACTATGTGCCACGATCTACTGATTTTTATCCAGGAATATTGCTTCAAGACTTACATCATGATATGAAAAGGCTAAAAAGAGATAGCAATGTCTACCTCTGCCTTGTGCATGAAAATACTTGAGCAAAAGGCTCTTCTTTGCTGCCCAGCATCTCTCTTTGTTCGCTATCTATCTTGAGCTGAGGTGCTTTCCAAGGAAGTTTATGCTTGTGGTCCAGGCTTAAATTGCAGAGCCAGCTGTGGAAAGTCAGCCTTGAGCCTTAGCAATTCCTTCCTGCCATTCTATTCTCAGACGTAATTTAATGTTATTATGAGGTGTGCTGTGCTCTGGGAGATTGCAGGGAACATTGTTGGCTGGTTTCACCCTAGCCTGCAGGCTAATACCTCCTTGTGAATCTTCCCTGGCATGTGATCTTTTCAGTTAACACTAGCATGTACATATATCAGATATCCATCCTCCAAGATTATTCTTAGGCTAACAAGGAATAGATGCCATGAGCAGAGGAAACATTTCAGAGTCATTTGGCCCAGATACAGGCAGTTATTTAGGCTTCTTAACTCTCATGGAAGTCAAAAAGGAGTTAGGAATTGAGTATCTCTAACCCTGGTGTCCCAGTGCATCAAAGAGCCAACTCTCAAAGCTCTCATAGTCTTGGTGCCCTTCGCGCTTGCCTGCTTCTAGATTCAGAAGCAACCAGTATCGGTAGAAGAACTCGTTCCAGCCCATCGGCTTTGACCTACCTGTAGTGAGCCACATAGCTATGAACGGCAGATGAATCACTGAGATTACTAAATAATGAAATCACTGACCTTAGAGAGAGGCTCCAGATGGCTCAGAAAGCAAATGGCCCATTTCAGGTTGCCAGGAGCACATCATCCAGGTGCCCTGTTCCATATGTTGCTGGTTCCCAGCTGAATGCCAAGCCTGACGCTTCACTCCTAATTTTTAAATCCTCCTGCAGAACCAGCCAAAGCTATTAAAAGGACTGTTTCATTCATATTTTCTACTTTATTAAATTGGCTGAGTGTAGGAGTGATCCATCTTCCACTTAAGTATACCCATCCCTCTGCAATTTATCTAGAAAAAGGTACAGTATGAATGAAGGAAAGTGCCTCTGAGGATAAGCTGGTTTTGCTGGGCTGGTGGGACTCCTGGTCCTGAGTTCTGCACAGCCTGAGAGCAGGACACAGCAGCAGTCTGGCCCACAAGCCAGTGCAGCATTTGCCCCCCCAGACTGTATTCCACTCAGCATTTCCCAGACTGCCTTTCTGGAGTCATGTTTGTGGGCTGCACTAGAAGGTTTTCTAATTCTGTATAGCAAAACAGCAGATGTGAGGGGTTGTACAACAGTCTGTAGACCACAGTCTTTGCTCAAGTATTACAAATGCTGACAGTCTGAACCAATTCCAGTGGCAATTTGGAAAAAATAATGGTGACTTCTGTGTACATTATTTAGGCCATAATTTATCAGATTTGCACCGTTCTATCAATGGAGAAAAAAATGTGTCATTATAGTGAAAAATGCTGTAAAGTTTCCTCAGTTCAGCCATTTGAGTTTTGTTAATTTTGTTCACTTTTAGCTCTATTTTACTGCATATTTCCATGGTGACAAGAAAATGTTTTATCTTCTCATTCCCAAAGCAAAACCAGGAACTACACCCCCTAATGTGTTTTGTTTGGGCG